AAGTTAATCAATACTCTTAGAATGACTTTTAGGTAAAAACTATGATATATTTTTAATCGATTATTTCTTTGTTTTGAATTTAGCCCAAAGCTACATGAGGGCTATCTGCGCTAGCCGTCCCTAATTTAGCAGTGTAAGACTAGAGGGAAGGCAGCTAGTCATCACCACCCACCCCCAACTCTTGGGCTACTCTTTTTTACAAACAAATAGTGGGATTGACCGTCACATTATAACGCACCCACGGCTGAAAGGGCGAGTATGTTTGGTGGGATGGGGATTCGAACCCGCGACCCTCAGATTGCGAGTCGAGCGCCCTAACTACCTGGCCATGTCGGGCCATTTTTTAATCGAATACATCACACACTCTACCATTTCATATATATATATATATTGTTTTTTAGTGACGTTTGAAAAGTCTGTTCAGTGGGATTGCATTTAGTATAGTTGTTTTTCATATTTGTTTCAGAATTAATGTTTCGAGAGACTTTTCGAAAATTTCTTAGTTTTACTGTAATTCCAAACTCACTATTTTCTTATTTTCTGTATACAATGTTTCATACGATCCCTTGAAAACTGTATAAGAGCCTCCAACCTCTAGCATTTTTGTCCCCCGATAGAAAAGCGGTAAGTTTACGGATTTACAACGTTAAAATCCGGAATTCTATTCCCGCTTTGCTCTGAAAGAAAAAACAAACAAACAACAAATCTAACATTATTTTTATAACAAGGCTTACTTAACTAAGGCTTCCTCGAAATAGATTAGTAGACCTCAAAATATCTAAAAGCATAAGTAGGAAAAAAACTTTTATAACTCAGAAAGATTTTTCAAACGCTTGACTTTCGCTAAAACGATTTATGTGTTTATCATACAAAAAACCGGTAGTAAATAAAGAGCACCTAGGGTTAAAACTATTTTCTCTCTGGTGAAATAAAAGGTGATACCTCTTGTATATTAAGGTTTAGCAATATATTAAGAATGAAAAACACACCTCTCTCTCAATGATAAAATTAATTATGTTATTAATTATTTCAAAATAATATTTATTTTTCTGACAGAAACAGTTACTGGACTTAAGCCTTACCTACCCAAGAATGAATGTCCTTGTGATTGTTGTACCATCCCTGATCCAAAAGATTGCACCAAGTTCACTCTTTGTATCAACGGTAATGCCATTAAACAAACCTGTGCAGATGGCCTTCGCTTTAACCCGAAAATCGAAAATTGTGACTATGGCAGAAACGTGGACTGCGACCCTCCTTGCGACAAAGACTGTGATGAGAAACCAACTCAACCTCCTGGTATTTAGCCAGCGTTCCATGGCCAATCACAAACTCTAAGGTTGGGGTTAAAGTGAAGAATACTTGGACAATTTTTGACGTGAGGGATACCGTGGGAGCAGTGAATAAACAGGTTACATTTATCAGGATGAGGGAAGAGACCTGACGGTTTTTTGCAATGGTGGTAAGTGTTGTAATTTACATTAATTACATAGATTAATAGCACAATCAAAGTAGCAAATAAAATGTAATTAGGCAACACGTTAAATAACAATTGAGAAATACATATAGATCACCTTATTTATATGTTACTGGTATGTGAAAAACGAAGGATCTTTTAAAGAAATTGCAAAATCCAGAGTATTGTACAGTTTATTGTTCACATTTTTTGTTGTTATAGAAAATATTATATACATCCATAGATTATTTACGTAAACATTCAATTAGTTCAAGATTTTTTTATCAGAAACTGAAGAGAGAATTTCATAAGTTCAAACGTTTTATCTGAAGGGAAGCCATGTGACAAAGAACCACCACCAGAGGGTGAATGTGACTGTGACTGCTGTATAAAGCCGGTGCCAGGTGACTGTGCAGCTTATATAAGATGTGAAAACTATCAGAAATTTCATGGTAGATGTACAAATGGACTTCTTTTCAACCCTAAAATTAGCAACTGTGACTTCGCAGAAAACGTAGACTGTGACGATAAACCAGAGCCTGACTCTAAGTGTGATTCTAAATCTGGTCTCTTCCCACACCCTAACGATTGCACCAGATTCATTCATTGTGCCAACTGGAGACCTTATGTCAAGAACTGTCCAGCTGGATTACATTTTAATAAAGTCTTGAAGATTTGTGATTGGCCGGAGACTGCTTGTTGCGATGGTACGAATTATTCACATTTTGAAAATTGAATATCTTTACGTGCTCAATATTCGTAGAAAAGCTACTACTTGTAAGTTTTTTTAGCCTGAACCTATGTGAGAAATTTCTTTATCATAAAGTAATATAATGAAATAAATAACTTTATTATTTCACATATTTTAGTCGATTAACATAGGTACACATTTCGTGGACCATTCATTATGTTCAGATCCTTTTATGTAGAAATGTTTGCAGATCATATAAATCAGTAAAAATACTTTTCCTGTCAACATACGAGAATTACAGTAACCCTAAAAAAGCCGTTAAAAACATGCAATTTATATTGTCTATTTTACTCTATTACAAGTAGATTTCCTTTTCCATCTTTTAG